TCATGGGCAAGGAAAATGTCAGATTTGGCTTTAGTTAATGAAGGCCCTTTTTTGCCCCTCCACCCCCTGGAAGATGACCCAGAAGCAGGGCCTATATGCACAATCTTTTTTGAGAGACCTGCAAACATATAGTCAGAGAAAGTTGAGATGGCAGGAAAGAAAAAACAGATGCCCTAATTTCAGGATGCAGTTTGCTTGAACTTGCTCTGAACTTTGTAAATACAGGACACCTGACATCATATTCATTTACAGTATGTTTATTTCTCAGTGCATTACATGAAAGGTCTTTGGTATTTGTGGGTTCTTGAATACTGTTCCCACTCAGCTCTGTAAGAAAATGCTGAATACAAAACATTCCATATACAGTAACAAAACCCATAGCAAATAAAGAGAAATAGATATTTTGAACAATAACATAGCAATATGAAAACAGATAAGTAACCATGCAAGAGGTGGAACGAACAGGTTGTGTTTAAAACAAACATTAGAGCCTGCCATAAATGAGTTCATTGTGTCAGATGAGATTTATTCTTGCTCTAAGTTAAGAAATTACACATGTTTGCAAGATACTGCGTACAGCTGCCCTATAAAAGACCAAATGGTTGTAAAGCTTATTACAATGAGAGAAGCCGGGACCATTTGCACACATACGAAACACACCGATATAAATAAAAAAATACTGTGTAAGATAACTACTGAAAAAGTTAACATTTCCTTCTATGGATGGGAATGTGCTTTGTGAACAACTATAGCACCTTTGAATTGCTTGGTTTCAATGCAATCACAGAAACTGTGAGTAGTGTAAACCCCTGTACCACCAAACACCAGAATGGAATGTAATCTCGAGTAAGACAGAAGCTGTAAACGTGGAGGAGAATGGATTTCCAATAAATTGTATTGAGAAGTAATTCCAGAAGCTGATTGTCTTTTAGAAGCCTTTGTCACAGTGGTCAGGTTCCTACATTAAAAGAGTTCATTACAGACACTGGGAGTGAACCCCAGTCCCAGAGCCAAACTCTGAGAAAGCCACTTGTGAGCCGTATACTCTGCTCCGCTAAAAGCAGCACCAGTCCATGCTAGCTGAAGAGCTGGATCTGATTTTTATGGTCTGTTCCTGTGAAAGTTGATGGCAAAATTACTCTGGAGTTTGGTGGGAGCAGGTAAGGGCTCTTCTCTCTAGTTTATTCCTATTTCCCTGGGTTGCTATCAATTCTTTACAGTAAGTGCAAATTAGGTACTCTGGAGAGACGCATTCACCGCCTCCCAGGAGTACCAGACTGCTGGTGAACATCAGGGTGCAGGAATTGCAAAGATTTTTGGTTGTGCAATGTGCTGCTGCTGCTTCCGGTTAGCTCAAGGCAAGGAAAATGCATTACTACTACCAGAACCGATCCAAATCAAAAGCACATTGGAGCTCAAAGAAACATTATGAGTTTCAAAAAAGCCTTAGGAAAAAAAAAAGGAAAAGAACACACTATGGTATTGCACAGTATGCATGTAAGATAAAGCACTAAACACTTCAATTAAAATATATTTCTAAATGAGCACGCATTCAAAATAAATCCACTCTCTAAGTTACATAGACACGGCAAGATGCACTATATGCCCTGGCTAAAACGAACCTTACTATCCTGCCTAAGATGGAAAATGTGGTCGGAGTGGTTTGCTTAGTCATGAATATCATTAATGTCAGCATGTGAGGCTGTGTTCACCTTTAAAACGTAATTAAACTGGGACTGCACAACAGTGTGGTCCAACCCTTGTGTAAGTAGAGAGGAATGAAACCCCAGCTGAGAGAGAAAGTCCATTTGGTATAATCCTACTGTCACCCAAATTAAAGATACAGTACCACATAAGAGAGAGATGTAGCTAAATAAAGCAAGAAGTGTGGGGAGAAAAAAATTACATAGCTCATACAGAAATCTGGGAAGGCCAATAATTAAAATGGTTGCAACCCAAACCTAACAAGTCTTTTGACAATTGACTTGGCAGGATTCACTGCAAACAACTGCCATTAAATTTCCTTTCATCTTGCCAGTAATTTGTTTTAAATAATTTAAAATCCAAAATCTTAGTCAATATGAATGACTTGAAGAGAATACTCATCAAGCTAATGCAATAGCTTTGAATTCAGGAAGACAAACTTGGAGGAAGAAAAATTTCTGTTTCAATTCAGTGTGAAGGCTCAAAAATGTCAGGGAAGTGAAAATGGCCCTATTGTACTCCCTCTTCCCCAAATCCAACCCTGTAGCTACAGGACCAGTGAACCCAAATTTTGCCATTTCCCTTTTTAAAAGATTGCTTTTGTTTAGTTTAGTTCCTGAAACTGCCATGAGGAAACTTCCTTAATGTGGCAAGCAACTACAGCTAGCACCAACCTGCCCAGTGTGCACGATTAGATTTCTCCTCAGTCTTCAGGGCCTGATTTTCCAACACCTACTGGTAGGCATAAGGGGTTCTCTCCTGGAAGCCCCCAGCTATGTCGTGTAATGGCCACATGATCAAGACCAAGACAGTCACTATTCAACAACGAGGTAATCAAGTACTTCTCAATTCCCACATGGTAGTCAGCCTGTAAATGGGGAAACATCTTTTCTGCACATTTAATTCTTAAATGGAAAGATTATTCCAAGAATCTATCAGCATGGAGGGACATGGGCTGCTGTACAGTACTTCAGTCATTTGCTGGATGTTGAAGACCTGAGCTGTGTGTATTTGTGACTGGTTTTAGGCTGCGAGCTGGTTGCCAGCCTTCCTTAAGACACTGATTTAATTCAGCATTATTTATATACATACTGTTGTTAGAGTTAGCACTGGATTAAGAGTTGGTGCTGGATTTGAAACTAAGATGCATTCAGGAGACTTCTTTATTTCATTCTGCCAAAAGGATTATGAACACAGGACAACTGCTTGAGGTCAGTAACTTGCTTGACTTGGGCAGTTTTACTTGCTTTCTTGCTTTCTGACTGCATCACGCTCCAGCTGTAATTCAGAGTACAGGCAGGCAAAGGAATGCTGGAGCCTGAAGCATCAGCTCTTGGCAATACTCTGCATTCACTTCAGATGTTTGAGTCTCAGGGAAAGAGAGCACCTGATTGTACCTTGCCTTCAACTCCCCAAACTTTTGTAACGCTTTGGGCTTGTTTCTTTGAAATGTAAATGTACAAAGGAAAACTTGAGCATACGGAAGTACAGCCTGTACAACCTGAACTACATGGGTTGACTGCTGAATGAGCTCCAGCACTGGCATTAGCCAAGCAGCGCGAGGATTCAAAAGCAGGGCAAGTAAATGCATTTACTGCAGCCTCCAAGCCAGCTTAAACCAAGGATGTTTATTTTTTAGCTGTACAGCAGTAAAAAGCTTCTGCAGGAGGACAAGTTTCTGGTGCCTGCTCAGCATCAACTTACACCATTTCACCTGTTTTGAGAGGGATGATTGAATTTCTAAAGACCAGGGCCAAATAAAGACATATAGTGAATTCAGTCATCCTGAAGTAGCCTGTAACCTGTTCATTTCTGAAAATACAATGCTCTTCGGAGGAAAGATTTGGATGTGCTGATGTCTCTGTAGGTCTACAATATTTACTATGTATACGGAAAGTTAATTTAATGTGTGGCTAACACTGGGCTGGCAGAGCTCCTTAATTTTTTTCACAGAAATATTGTAGCAGTACAGTTTGCCTTTTTCAGATAGCTGTATCTTGCACTAGGAACCAGACAGAATGTCACAAATTTACCTGACTTAACGACATAAAATGACAAACACAAACTCAGTTTCCTCACTTTTGTCCCAGGCTGAATTTGAAAACTGTCAGAATGGAGCAGGAGGGGAGGGAAATAAAGATACAAAAAAAAAAAAAAAAAAAAAAAGGCACCATTGGTTCTGTTGGTTAGTCCTCACCCTTTCAAACAAAAATCACTGTCTACATGAATGATATCAACTTGTCCGATTTGGTTTGTACAGCAGGTGTAGTGATTCATTTGTCACTGAAGGGCAGGTTCAACAACTTAACCCTGGAGCTGGGACTTCCCCCAAAATAACAAGTTATTGCAAAAAGTAAAATGACTTTGTATTTAACTCCCAGTGCAAGATAAGCTCTTGACAAGACTCTCATTCCTTAGGCTGTGGTTTGCTACTACACTGTCTCTAGATTCAAATGGCAAGGATTTACTCACAAGACAAAAATGAAATAGTGTGAAAACATTTTTCCGTATTGATGTAGGATTAAGAAACTATTGCAAAATATCCTTTTCTGTGAATAGTTATTGCTACTACTTAATTATCTCTGGATGTATGCACAAGCTGAACACAATATGGGAAAATTCTTGCACAATTCCATCATATCTCATACAAACTGCTCTATATTTTCACAGAAACAGTCTAATCTCACTGTAGATAGAAAACCAATGTTGCCATGAACATTTGCATCAAAAGTCCTTGCTTAGCTAACCACGAATAGAAATAAGCTACATGAAAAGCCAAGATTTTGATGCTAAATTCCAAAGAGTAACCTGAATTTTCAGAGTAACAGTTTTAAAAGTTCTTTGAATTTTCCAATTTGTTCTTTGCTTAAAAGAAAACCTTGCAGGTAGGAATGCTTTAATAGCCTATGAAAGGGGTATCTTCACCTGGAAAGTCAGCATCACACCACCACATGGAATAAAAACAGATGCCATCAACTATACCAATGGACAGGGCTAAGGCTTGGCTTTGAGTCTAGATGGGACTGATTGTCTCAGCCAGTTAAGCAGTGCTTTAACTGAGTAACTTTCAAGGGCAGTGAGGAAACAAGGGGAGGACTAAACTCTTGAGACAGAGTCAGGAGGTGTCATTTCTGTAGACAGCTTCTGAGGATACCTGCCATCTGGTATTCCAAAGGCAAAACAACAAAATCAAGAAAAACATTCATAAGACCCTCTCTGAGCTATGGATAAGACATTCCCTGCAATAAGGACATAGTATTGGCCAGGTAAGGAAACCCTCCAACTGCCAACACTGCAGCCTCCTACCCACTTCATTTGCACTCTGCAATTAAGCACTGGGATACTGTATCTTTAACTGGTGAAAGGCATGGAGAACACACAGATGCTCCTACTTCATCCGATTGCTTCTCCTTTTGGCTTCACTGTCATCCAGCAGTGAAGAGAGGATCTGGTAGGCCTGCGGCTGCTGGGGTCCTCCACGTTTGATCTTGATGTTGGTTCGCAGAGGGGAGCCCGGGATCACATCTTGTCCAGAGCCTGGCTCAATGGAAGATAAAGAGTCTGTAAGGAGAGAAAGTCACGGGAGAGCGCTATTTAAAAGACGGAGGCTAAGGAAAGAGTAAATGGGCCCTTCTGAATGATACCTCTTCTGGAAGAAGTGTCGTCCTTCCTGTTGTCTTTCCATCCAGCAAGCAACTGTGGCACTTAACATGTTTGCTGCTGTCACACTACTCCTATGTTAGGTCTTTTCCCTCTGCTCTGTCTAAACTCTTTGGGGCAGGTACTCTTACTGTACATAGCCCGGCAGGTCCTGTTGCCATTTGTAATTCCATTTCTAAAGCACTGTTATTAATTATAAATTTGCTTGGGCTATAGCTGCTACTCAGCATTGCCCACAGATTCCTGTTATTGAAGGATGAGGCCAAGTGGTCACTGGGAAGTGAAGCTCCTGAGGGTTTAAGTACCATTTCACTCCTTGTAAAGGAGGACATTTTCAGGCACTGAAAGGATTGAACAAAAGGATTGATCTGCCCTCCACTACAGCCAAATTAGCAATAAAGCTGGGAATAAATATTAGCTCTCCATTCTCCCAGCATGCCTCATGGTAACACACGCATCCTCTTTCTACAGCATCCTGTCTTGCAAAGCTAAATACACATTTGACTACAGCCACTATTCTATTTTTCCAGCAGTCAGCAACAGATGCTGATAACCTGATGCTGCCTCATCATTTTTAACACCCTAGTTTCTTCTTCCTTTTGCCTTCAGAGATGGACATTTGCTTGTTTCCCTGCCAAAAGCCCAACCTCACAAGCCAGACACCCAGCCTTGGTTTGATCCCACGAGGCAGCATTTCTGTTTCAAGTGAGCGTTTGGCTGCCAGAGGATTTGTGCTGCATTCGCTGGAAGTAAACACCGCTGGGCTGCTCTCTGCAGTTTGCTAGGCTAGATAATCCCAAACTGCCCTCCCATTGCAGAGAATTGGTTTGTTTGCTGGTATGTTTTGCCTTGTTGCTTGGGTGGCTGTGGTTTTGGAAACCACACCGATTGTGAACTTTCTTGGGAAAATGAGAGCATGCAATTGGCATTTCTGCGTGGGTCTTTAAAGCTGGGCTGAGTTGGGCTGCCCAGGAACCTGTGGTAAAATCCTTAACACCTACGGTGGGAACATGACCAGATAGTTGGCGCTGGGTGATTTAAACCAGTGTGGTGCTTTTCAGTGCAGGGAGGTCTGTGCTCAAGGATATTCTGTTTTGTTATTTTATGTCTTTTTCTGTTGTGGTTTTTTTTAAACCATATACACGTAAAGGGATGAGCATAACTGCACAAGGAAAAAATGCCTTACTTTCCGAGTTCTCTTTCTAAACAGTATTTTTGTAGGGCCTAAAATATGTCTTAAGTTAAAGAATGGAACTATCTCAAAAGCACAGAGTAAAAATATAATTATCTATACTGTTATTGGATAAAAAAGGAACTATTTATATAAAAAGTCATACAGTATAGGTGTTTAAATATGGCCTTAACTACACTGTGTAATTAAAACCCATCCATTTTTGCTGATGCAGTTACACTGGTATAGAAGTATTCATGGGTATAAATAACTCACCTCCATCCCAAGTAATAACAGAAAATATATTCATGTCAGTAAAAATGGTTTGCGAAAATGACCGTTTCAAAATAACAGCAGCGCATGCCTTGTTGCTGCTGTATTGCCAGACAATGTATAAAATAGATAAACTAAGCAGTTCTGCAGGGGCAAAGCTGCATGAATCCCGCAGTCCAAGCCCCAGTGCCTACCCAAGCTTCCTCATTTTGCTTTATACTAGTTTAAATGAAGGTACAAAGTAAAAGATAATGGAGGGCCAGGCCCTGGGTCCTGTAAATACACTGCACTGTGCTTATGCACTGGGTTCCCCTTCCCCTCCTGCCCGGGGAATGTACTGGCTGGGCATGGATTGCTGCCTAGGTTATCTAGTGGGCATCTTCCTGGTACCTGAAAGCAAAGCAGCATAAAAACATCTCTTCCTGCCCCTGGTGTATAAAATCCAATGAAAATATGAAGCAAACTAGGATTAATGCAGAGGTAAGGTCAGGGTGATTGTGGTTAAATCACGGGTTCGTGATTCATGATTTCCCGAAAAGCTTAAGCTGTTGCTGCCTATTGCTTCTCGAAATAGTACTTTGGGCCTCTAAAAGACACACGGCCACAGAACAATGAAGAGCAGTGCTGAGACCCCAGCCAGTTCAGCCATATAACGGAGCACCGTGCACTGACACTGTTTTGGCTCTGATGTGCCCAGTGGCATTTTCATTTTAGCACTGTGCTGGCTCCAGGAGGAGCTTGTGGGCTTTCAAAGCATGCTGTCTTACTGCACAGTAATAGATACACTTTAAGTCACTTGCTTAGGAACTGCTGGACATTTTAGCTGTTTAGCATTTTCACAGGCTAAATCAATATCCAAAGGCCACTTCATAATAAAAGTGGATGTCAATCTGAAGGAAGGTGTGAGCAGGTTGCTTTACAAGCAAGGCCAGGAATGAGGTGCCATGTGTCAAGGAGAAAATAAGAAAGAAAAGTGCTATGGGACTTGGTTAAAAAATGCTCATCTCGGTGCCAAGGAACAGGCTTGCTTCTCACAGGCTGGAATAGTAGATCTAAACAACATTTTGCCTCTACTGTGTTTCTGAAGGGGGAGAAATTGGCACAGCAACTTTTGGCAGCTGTGAGAGAATTGATCCTCGAGTACCCCAAAGGGAGAAGTCTGATCTGTGATGATTGCACAAGTCCATACTCTGCTTAAGGAAAGAAAACACTCATTAAGGGATGATGCCACACACTGTACCAGCAATGGCAAATAGCCTCAACAGAAAACTTAAAATCTACCTGAATAAAGAACACATGAGACTTTCTTTAAAGCTGATTGTGAAAATAGCTTTTATGTAAGTTATAATCCCAAGATGTTCAGGGATCACTGGTTTTCAGGGTAGCATGTAGCACTGTGTGGGCTTTCTCTGTAAAATATAGTGCTACACAAGGCCAGGGCCTCAGTGGTGTTAAAGTAATTTGGAAGGCACTATTAACAGGATTAAATGATCTGGCCTAAAGACTTGAACAAGCAGCTCCCTGGGAAGCTGGTAGATGATCTGTGCCACATGGATTGAGCTGCTGCTCGTGACTTGGCTTTCTGAATTGTAATAAAAATTATTGTGGGGGTCATTTCACCTACTAATGTAAAGCCAGAGTAACTAGTGCAGTTGGTGGAAGCTCTAGGTCCTCAACAGTTCTAAGCATCCTTTAAGTCATGTTGGGTACCTAGTTTCGAAAACCCAGCTTAAATTGACACTAGACAGAGAGTTTAGGAGACTGGATGTTTAACCATCAAGCAGCTGCCCGAACAGAGCCCCCAGCTGCCTAGAAATGAAAACCTTAGCAACGCTTACCATGAATTCCTATCATGTGCTCAAGAATTAATACCCTCTCAGCTAAAATCTTCAGAGCTTCTCGAAGTTGTTGAACACCTTCCCCCTGCAAGAAGGAAAAGAAAACTAACATCTGTGTATGTTGCAGAATAAGCCTCTTTGTTCACAATGTTGCCTCCACAATACCAAACTATGCAGTGTGAATTTTTAAAAAAGAAAAGATGTAAAAGGGGAGATAAGTTGCAAGGGTTAAGTAGAAATGCAGGTGAAATTCCTATTTAAAGAAAAACTTCTCAGTTATACGCACATTTGCAGAGCCTCTGACCCAAAGCCAAGCCTTTCAGTTTGGTTCCTGCTTCTGCAGTGGGCCAAACCCAGGGTGTATATTCCTGTCAGACCTTAATAATGTGCAGCTTATGTTAACAACTATGCTGAACTACCTGGCGAACGGGTTTTGCCCTCACCTGACATTTACTCTGAACATCAGTTCAGGCTTTCTCTTTGTTGGTACACCAGGAAACCGGGACGTGTGGCTAGCACCATCTTGCTGCTCCCTTATAAACTGGAACAGTGGCAAGCAAGCACATCCTGATGGGCTTCACGCTGCCTCTCGCATTGCTCCTAGCCGGGCCACGTACTTTCACGTACACTCAGGCTGTAGTTTGTTGCCCCCATTGCCTTAGATATGGGCTTGAAGGGACAGATAGATGTTGGGAAGTATTTTAAGGTGGGAGAGCAAATATGTGAGAACTCGAGCTCTCTCTCTGCACATGCAATTTGATGTCTTCCGGAGTCTGTCCCTGAGCGTGTGGGAGGGACAGTGAGGGAGTAATTCCCTACCTTGTAGCAGCTCTGTGTGGCAGAACAACCACTGGGGACTGAGGAGGTGTTCAGAGAGCATGGTGAGAGGGCAGCTGACAACATGGCCAAGGAAACCTCAAAGACCAGGATTTCTAGCACGTATTAAGGTGAAACCCAAGGTTCAAATAATCTCTTGCTCTGCACTTTTAACTGTGGACAGGACCCTTGCCCTCCACAAAGCATCCTGCCAAAGGGAATAGGGTTGAAGCACAGTGAAGAGACAAAAAGGAAAGTAAAAAACCAGTAGAAATACATGCTTACATCAGCACCTTTGTCACCTTCCTCACCCTTCTTGCCTGGTTCACCCTAAAACAGACAAGAAACAGAAATTTGTTTTTATGTGCCTGCCCAGGATCACTTGCATCCCTTCCCTCCAAAGGAATAAATTAAAGGCAGAAGCGTTTCACCAGCAGAAAACAAGCTGACTCTCTGGCACTTCATGCTAAGGGCCAAAGTGGTCTCATGACCTCTGTCCTGGCTCCCACCAGCTTCCCAGGAGGTCATCACCATTTCTAACCCTGACAAACTTGGCCAGGAGTGGCCAAGCTGCAGGAGGAGCTGGCTGCCATGGCCTGGGCCCACAACAAGACTATATACATCTCATGAAGATCTCAATGAGCAAAGCTTTTATCTCACACCAAGATAAAAATACTGTTCCCCTCCCCCAAATATGCACATGTCCATCTTTGATTTAGAACATAAACTCCTCCATTCTGCTTTCATTATTAGTCACATCACTTTCTGCCTCTGAAGATGCTCATTAAGCTTTTCTTGAACAAAGATCCCTATGTGCTGTGAACATTGGTCTGATGTCCCCCCCTAACCAGGAAGTTCATGCATTTCTCAAATAACAGATGACATGGAGAGATTAAACCACAAGCTAAACATAAAACAAGGGAAAGGTCTAACAAACTGGTAAATAAAATGCCTGGGCTCCTCAAACTTGTTGGACATCCCTGAGATACTTGCAAAGCAGGGATGGGTGTGGGAGGAAGGACTGAAGAAAAGGTTGTGTGAATCGTACAAAATGATGAGATGGAATTAAGGAAGAGAGAAGAAAAACCTCCCAGAGGACCTAGGACCTCTCTGGATGCTGCCAGCCAAAAACCCCAACTTGCTCCACCAGCTCGCTTTCAGCCAACCTTCATCTCCACTGGTTTGTTTGCACCCTAGCCGTATGTGCCAGTGCAGACATCTCCTGTGTGCCCCTGTTCAGGTATTGCCAAGAACTCATTTGGAGACATCTCTTAATCTCATTAAAGGGTTTCTAGCTCAGCTTGGCAGACCAAGGTGCAAGAAGGAGTTGAGGGCAGCTGATGTACTTTGAGTTGTTTAACAGTGTCCACCTTTGGGCTCTGGTAGAGCCAGGAACCTCACGGGGCAGGAAGGAGGCTTCTGTCTGCCAAGGTTTGGCTAGAGGGGATCTGCAAGCAAAGCACATCTCTGTTGGCGTGATGCCTTCCTAATCATGGCATTTCAGCACTATGCTTAACATGCAGGAAGACCATGTTTCATTTACAGAGGAATAGGTTAAGGTGAGGTTGCCTATTGAACAAACGTCTAAGCTGGAAACAGTTGACCTAAGCATTGCATCTGAGAGCTGGTTGAACCAGCTGCAGTCCAGCTAGGTGGTATTTATGGTGTCACGCAGGCACCAAACCCATCTGAGTCTTGCACACACCCGCAAGTACATCACTTACAGGAAATCCCTTAATGCCCCTCTCTCCAGTCAGACCTGCTTGCCCCTGTTGGAAATAAAGTAAGTGTCATTAGGAGATATTTTTCCATTTGACAAGAACAGAGTGTAGTTTTTACTAGTGGAATTAAGATGGCTTAATGAAAAACCTTACACTTGGGATAATATGAAAAAAATTCCTCTCCCTTGACATTATCACTTAGAGACAGCAAAAGGGGGTCATGGCTTTCTGTCAAGTATCATCTCCAAATCCCATCACACTTTGGAGAAGTTTGGTTCGATACAGAGCTACTCAGCTCAGTACCCTCTCAGTAAGACGATTAGCAATTTTTTTGAACTTTACAGCAGTCAGTTACATTATACCAGGAAGGAATTTGGCTGGAGACTTGTTTTTTACAAAGATACCGCATTCTTCTCTCTAGTAAAACTGATGGGCTGATGCTGCCCCAGACAGCAAACAGAGCCCAGGACTCCCACAGAGCACAGATTTAATCTGCCTCCTGCTCCACACACATATCCCTGCATTAACCCCAACAACTACTGATCAAAACACACATACAATATTTTGGTTGGTTCATTTCTTTTTCCTGCTGTGCTAATTTTCACATTGTTCTCAGTGGGCGGGGGTTGTTCTTTTTTTGTTTTTTTTAAACAGAAACATTTTGAAATGGTATGTGTTGATTTGGGGCAGAACGAAATGCCATTGAACTGAGCATCTTTTTTCCCTCTGTATTCCTCTGCAGCATAGGTTTTCCACCCTGGAGCACGCTGGGGCAGAGCAGAATCCCTGATCAGGAGAAAAGCTATAGATTATTTAATGAGAAAGCAGGAGTTTGGGAAGAGGTGGAAAAATTTACAACCATCTTTAGAAATCCATTGATGAAACAGCCATATATTTAACCTGGCTCTCCTCCCCTCGACATCCACAGAAACAGCCTCATCCTTTTTTCCCCAAAAAAACTACCTAGCTGGTGGCACCTTTTTGTAGTATTTGCCAGAAAGGGAGAGCTGCTTTGTGTAAAACCAATGGGCCTTGGGCATCTACAACACATTACTACAGAGAGCTGTGCAGTGCTCGGTGAGCAGCTAGCCAGCACTAGACAAAGGCCCGTATCGACACGAAGAGCGCTGGGAGGAAGGCCCAATTTATCAGGTCCTTTGAGCATCTTCAAAGGAAAATACTTGGATTCTGCACTAGAGAGAGCAAGGCCTGTGAAAAAGCACAGGCAAGCAGCAAATTACAGAAAGGAGACATAACAACGCACTCAAAATACATAAACAGACTGTTCTCTGTGTCTAGGGGGAATGGGAAAGGATGTTATCAGCTTTAAGGGGATCAAAGGATATTTAGGCTGGATGTTAGAACTATCTTTTACCTCAGGCCCTCACTAGCTGTACCTCTGAAGACTGCCTGGAGATGATGTGGTGTAACCCTCACTGGCGCTGTTTAAGAATAAGATGAACAGAAGCTGATCGTGAGCGGCACACATATAGATGTGCCATCCAGGGGATGCGCTCAGACTGCTTCAGGTCTCTTCTACGTCTGTTCTGTCTGAGATTAAGCAGGAAGAATGTATAATAACATTTTCTTGACTCTCAACAGATATTGTAAAACCTCCTCTGCTTTTCTTTGCAGCTGCATAGCTCCTCCGCTGTGTAAAGCTAGCTCTAATTTGTATCCACCAAACCCAAAATTGCAGCATGTAGTTGTCAAAACCAGCATTCAAATCCACACTCAAAAAAGACAAAAAGCACACAGAACATCCTACAGAAATTCTGCCAGAAAAAGCAATTGGCTTCACTTTCCATGCTAACAGAGGAAGGACAGGAAATAGAATTTATTTTTTCTATTTAGCAAGACATTCTCATATTTGAAAATCTCATTTGTCCCAAACCTGGAAGGAGAGTTACGATTCTGAATATCTAACAAGGAGGGAACAAAAAACAAAGTCTAAAGGATGTGTCTGTACTGAACAGACACAGTGCAACAAAGTTTTTGTTTCAAAATAAGTCTAAGCAATATGGTCAACCACAAACTAAAGGAAAATGTTAAATGAATCATAGAGAAAGAGCTCTTATCAGTTTCCTGGATGGAAACTTGACACTTCGCCATATACCATGCCTTTTTTTTTTTTTTAACTGAAAAGTAACTTTTAATGGCAATGAGCTGTAGTCGGTAACCTGTGCTGAGATCTCATCAGTTAAGGTTTTGCTCTCTATCAGAATCTTAAATTCTAGTCCCACAAATGCATCAGTCTCTAATCTATTAGTAAAGCTAATACATGCCCAAAGTGGCTGATCTGCACAAGGAAACTGTTATTAAGAAAATTCTAACAGTCACTTAAAATGGTCTCTGTCTTTCAGGGGGCTCCAAGTGATTTCTTATGTAAGAAGAGGGAGCAGGCACCCAAAGCAATATGCAGATACCACACTAAAACAGAGCATTTTAAAAGCATATGTGCTCCAGCCTCAGATTTCCCCTGCTCCTTGGCATGAAGTGCCTCAGGAAGGAATGAAAGAAGCCACCTGGTCTTGCTCTCCTTGCACACAGTCTGGAGAGAGGAACTTAGTTTAAGTCTGTTGCTGGTTATTGTCATGAGTTTGGAAAGTCATCAAATTGGAGTTAACCAATTTGTATTTGTCTTTCCTAGCTCTTTGAGACATCCCTCTGTCTTTTGGATTGGAAGAGTGAGCAGAAATGGAAGAGGAGGAGATGCTGTCATATGGGGGAAGCACATCATCTACAGCCACCCATTTACAGGTGGTGACCTCCATGTTCACCTCCACCTATGTGACGGTAAAAGTGGCACTTGGAAGAAAAGGGAACTTGTTTCCTACAGCTGTGGCACAAGGCTGTGTCAATGCAACCACCACTGCAGACATCCATCATTTTAGAGGTACCAACCAGTATTTTTCTCCTTATGTTTCTTCCTTTCTTTGATTCTGCTCCACACTAGGGTCTTAGTGATTGTCCACAGTCCATCTGTCCCCACTTCTACATTTTGCAGATCTAATTGCTGAATGATCCTCCACCACATACTACATTCTCAAATGATTTTGTGCTCCTAATGTCTCTCAGAGGAGATTTCAAAGACCATGGCCTTTTGGAGAGTAAGCTGAACAGAAGCAGCTGAAGGCCCAAATGCCACTTTGAAACCCTTCCTGGTGCTTAATGCTGGACTGAGAATCTGACACATTTATACCCTTGTTAAGATTTTTCTTTGTTTTTTCCTAAACTTCACCAGTTTGGAAATAACATTCAAACAGCCCCTCTTTCTAGGCTTAGTTATTAGCACTTGACCACCCATCAAGGACTGGGGTATAGCACATAAACATATTAAGAACATGATTTTAATATTCCAAATATATTAAGAACATAATTTCACCTGGGGAATGGCTTTGGTTCAGGAAAAGTCTGATGAGCTTTTACTGCCTTATTGCCACAGAAGGAAGAGTTCAGTTAGACCACTCAAAATACTCCATGCTAAAGAGCTTTGGTTGGCAGAAGAAAGTTGGTCTCCACAAGCCTTCATACACCTTGTATTTGCTACCTGAACCTCTTTAGGGAACACCAGACTTTGCAAGCAATTCAACCCTTTATCTGTACAGTAAACCCTCAATCTTGGTTCTTGCAGAAGACCTAGAAACTCTACATTTAAAATTGTTCATGGCTGTAGTCTCACAGAATTTGAAAGACCTATGCTGTATATAATTTCTGAGACATCACCCCAGATGTTGCTGGGAATCTCTCTGTGTATGTAAAACCTTACTCTCTCTCCTCGGTCTCCTTTGGAGCCTTTTGGCCCGGGTTGTCCTGGAGAGCCCGGTAAGCCCTAGAAGAGATGCAGAACAAGAAGGAATTAATTTCTACTGTGCATCCTTTGTGTAGGTGTAATGAATACATTTCCCAGTAATCCTCAGCTCCTGAAAACCTCATACACCCGTTAAGTAATTGGGCTGGATTCTCTTTTACCCTCAAGCAACAACAATGGAAGCTCTGTTTGCAGATATCCCGAGCCCTATATAGTTTCTGCATATCCCTCTATTTGGGTCCTTTAATGCACTGCAGGCTACTGATGTAACATTTTTAAGGGGTCAGTATGACAGGATAGTTCTTGTTCTCAGTTACCAAGAAGAAATTAATACACAGATAGTATGGTTAGCTTAAAAATCCCCACTACTTTCCCCCTCTTCATAATTGCCTCAGTGGGTGGCATGAGTAAGCATACATACCTGAAAATTAATTGGATTGTGCAGTGGAAATTATTTTGAAGCTATTCACTCACCCTAATAAACAATTTTCAAATTAAGCCCAATCTCTACTAATAATTTTGCTCCCTGGGTTGAATAAATCTATAAAACAGTCACCAATGGATAAGAAGGGCATAGTCTCCAGACTTCTACTAATTGAACTGCTTTGCAGAAATTGATTCAAATTCTTAACTTATCTACCCAGCGAAGCCACAGCTGTAAACCAGACAGGGAGAGAACAATATTGTTTGTTTATATTCAGCATGTCAGCTCCCCATGACCATATGCAAGACACTTTTTTCCACCTTAAGTGACTTGCACATCGCCTTGGAGCCTGCAGCAAATGAGACTACTGCTCCAGTCCAGGCTGCTGGTGATTTAAGCCAACCTGCTTAACAACAGCCCTCAGAAACCCCCACCTCTCAGCATCCAGAGAAATGGTCTTTCGAAGCATAGCTGAGAAGCCTCAACATCTGGTTAAGTGGCCAACAAGACTGGACAGAAGTGTTTTAAGGGTCTAAAGGAGGAGCAGTCTCCCAGTTCCAGCTAGGAGGCAGCAATGTTCACCATTAAAATGTTGCTCCCTGCCTGCATTCAGCCCCACCAGCTCACACCAAGCTGCACAGTGACCTGGCCTCCAGCTTAGCTATGTCTCCCCTGGGCCCACAAAAGATTCAGAAACTCAGGCCTGGTTTAGGAGGTTAATGAGGACTGCCAAACGAGGTAGAGCACAAACCAGACTTGGCCCTATGCCAAACATGCAGCATGAACAAAGCTTAAGTGTCCATAAGCATCCTTTGCTCTTGACAGCTCTGAACGGTGACTTTCAGTGCGTGATTACACGGGGACACTGAAGAACACTGAATTCCACAAATCTGTTGTAAAAAAATATAAGATTTATAATGTGTGCTACGTGTGAAAAAGCCAGACTCTACTACAGAACCTATTTATGAATTGTGAATTACCTTATATTTAATCACGTTAAACTGCATCTGTAATTTTGCTGCCAAATTTCCCACTGTGTTCATATCTATCTGGAATTTCTCATTGTTCTCCAGAGCACTCACTAATTGAAATGATTCTGCTACACTGGCAAACTTTCACTAACGTTGTCCATTGCTTCTTCAAAGTGATTAATAAATACATAGTAAAAATCTCTATTTCTAGCAATTCCAAACCTCTTCTTATCAGGATCTAGAATTATAGAATCATAGAATCTTTAGGTTGGAAAAGACCTTTAAGATTATCGAGTCCAACTGTCAACCCAACACCACTGTGCCCACTAAACCATGTCGTGAAGTGCCTTGTCTATGCGTTTTTTTGAACACTTCCAGGGATGGTGACACCACCACTTCCCTGGGCAGCCTGTTCCAATGCCTGACAACCCTTTCAGTGAAGAAATTTTTCCTAATATCCAACTTAAACCTCCCCTGGTACAACTTGAGGCCATTTCCTCTCATCCCAAGATGATGATGTAATCTAAGTTACATCCATCTGCTAAGTTACCTAACCTTTCTCTCTGTGCTCTTCAGTCACTTTTATCTCTTTAGTCATGTTAGATTCCTTTTAAGTATTGATGTTACTGGTTTACCTCCACATTAAGTAATACTCTTCCCAAAACTGGAGTCCCTTTATATCAGCCAACCACAATTTTGAGTAGTTTGGCAGTTTACTATTCATCATGACTTCACTTCTTTCCATTTAACCAGCTTTTTCCATCCATGTGAGTACTTTGCCCTCCTTCCACCATAAATTCTTTTCAGTGAGTTTATCACACTCCATAATTATCTCCCCCCTCCACAATTTTTGTATTGATAAATAATCAAACTGATGTGAATTTGTGATATTTTTCTTTAACAGAAAGTGCTATTTCTGAAAAAGTAGACTTAACAAATTCACTTTGGTGAATTGGTGAATTCCCATTGATGCATTTTTGTTCTTTTTATGTGTTCCACAGGAAATGCAGTATTTTTCTATCACTGTGTTAATAAAGCCCATGTCAGGTCCTTTGCATCAACTCAGGCCACAGTGAAATGTTTTGACACAGCAAAGCAAGATATGTTGTTATGATTAAGGGAAAACCTGGGAAGCACAATCATTTCAACCTCTCAACACAATTCAGAATGAAAAAAGGTATTAAAATCACAGAATTTCATGGGGAACAAAACATCAGATCTAAACTTATAAAGTACTCTCCCTCTTTATGCAATAAGATGTTTCGCACCTAACCCCCAACTCTGCCCCTCAGCCCCAAAGCACTAAAGCGCCTTACTTGTGATCCAGGGACTCCGATAGGTCCTGGTGGCCCTTTGGGTCCTGATGCTCCTGGTGGCCCTGGTAGGAATCATCATTTGAGACAATTTTAAGGAAATTTAGAAGGGAGGACCCTAAATTCCAAACATATGCACTTCCTTTGATTGTTCTGTTTAGTCTCTCAATAGGTAAGAGCTGTTCATCGATCACAGGACTACAGCATAAGCACTTCATCACACACTGCTTTATTGGATACCCACATCCTGATATAATATATCCCTATGCCCTAGGGAAGATGTTAGAGCTCTGGGAGGAAAAACAGGTGAAAATAGGGAGGAAGGATGTCAGTAACATGCTGCATTTCCATTGTTTAAAATGACAACTTTTGAGAAAACTTAAACTAGATCCGTGAAACAGCTACATCAGAGCAAGATACTACAGTTGCTGTTTCTGAAACAGTTTCACTGGTGGCAAGGGAAGTCCACAATCCTGCTATGGTCTGTCTATCTGTCTAGTGTTGTGAGAAAATTGATGATGAACATGAAGGAGACGGGGTTTGGACATAGCCAGAGTGAGAGGCTGACTGCGGCAAAGCAAAGCTCTCTCTTGTTCTTTGCTCACTCCAGTGGCAATAAATTCTTTAAAGTCTGTACCACAGAAGAGCCTGCTTCCAGGACGATTTAAACACTGTCTAAACAGGTCAACTTGTTTTATACAGTCACTTAACAGATTCATTCCTCTTGGAAAAATAATTATATCTCAACAGTAGCTGTTAAATTATACCTGCAAATGGGGGACAGGATATTTGTTTAGTCTGAACTTAGCAATACTCCTCTCTGCTTTAGTTGTCACAACCCTTGAGATGAAACAATGTGGACATTATACACAAAGTACAGCTGAATCAGCTTCAATCATTAATGCACCATACAAATGCTTAAGTCAAAGAATAAAGGAATTGAAGGATAAATGAAAGGCTCTCATAATGAAAGGAAAAGCCTTTTCTGAAACTAATGGGAGTTAACTCCTAAATATGCATCATACAGGGAAGTGCTGATGTTCGCAGGAATACTATCATTTAAGCCACCCATCAGCACAGAGAAAAAAGACGACTTGCCGCTGAATTTTCATCCCAGAATCTGATTTCAGTTATACTAGTGAAAATCCGGAATGGTTCAAACCAGCTCCAAAGTCTGCAAAGTCTGCATACACAGAGCAGCTGGCCAGATCCTGCTCAGTGGAGCTCTACAGCAACAGGACAGGATTGCAGCAGTGGTGAGAATAACTCTGCTCTCATAAACAAATTCACCGGACAACCCATTCTTAAAGACAGTCTTTAATTATTCCCTTCTCAAGATGTGTCCTGCCAAAGGCAAAATAATCTGCCACTATCAACAGATAAGAAACCTGGTTACTTTTTGCCACCCTTCCCACTCCTGGACCCACTGCTCTACTGCCCTTCCAATGAGGACCGCTTGCTTTCCCCACAGGCCACTCCAGTCTCCATCAGAAATTTCTTTTGCTCATCTTTCCCATCATTACAGGTTTGCAGCTCCACTGAACTTATTACCTGGTGGCCCAATGGGGCCCGGGGCTCCCCGTGGTCCTGGCAGGCCAGCCATGATGGTGTCTATGACGGTGGAGGCCAGCTGGGGTTCTCCGTCTGGGTTAAAGAGCAGAGCAGAGCAGTTAGTTAGTGTCCCTGCAGCAAGAGCTGCCCAGCCCCAGCAGGCAGGACTTCTCTCCAAAATCCTTTGGCGCCTGTTGCTGGCCAAGGTCAGGCAGTGCTTCAGGATGCAAAACTTGGGCTCTGGGAGCAATTGCCCTTTGCTCTCTAAGGGCACAGGCTGCATCCCTCAGACCCGCAGGGCTGCTCATCCCACCTCTGATAACCCCAGAAAAGTTGTCCTTTCTTTCAAAAAATTGGTGTTCCTGCACACCTATATAATCCTACCTTTGAATGCCAAAGCAGATTAGGAGTAGGTCTGCACTGGACAGCAATAACTGACCCAAAATTTGCCATCTCCAAGACACATCTGGCTTCTGACTACTTGAGAAACCAAACATGGATCTGGAGCTCCCTCCCATCTGGCCTCAGTGAACTGCTGAGCCAATCTGGCAGTGTAGCATATCCCCACCAACCCAGCAAGCTCACCCTGCCATCAAGGTGGTGGTAGGAGATATCCTGAGGTCTGAAGATGCAGGAAAGCCCGGGGAGAGGGTGTGCTCTCCCCCCTCCACATACTTGGGAAACTCACTTGCCATTTAGGATTATTTTAGGTGTTCAGCTGGCCAGCTCAGGCAGGTCTACTAAGTAAGTTCTGGGAAAGAGATGGAAATGGGACTGGAGCAGGGAGAGGAAAGGCATGAGCAGGAATTGGAGGAATTTTGTGCTTTTGCACATCTTTCTCAGACCTCTCCTGCTAGGAATAATAATCAGCAGCCTGTAGCTGCCCCCATCTTCCATAATACTTGAACCAATAGGCTTACCACTTCAGCTGGTGGCTGAACACAAAGAACAGAACTACATATAAAAACCCAACCCTTATTATTTTTTGCAATTACCAAACCATATTCAACAACCCTATTCCCTATGGACTTGTACTGTAGCATACTAGTAGTCTAGGGGAGTACCTGTATGGCACAATCTTTCATCTGAACATCCCACAACACTATTTGACAGTTGTGAAAACCTAGGGGAAAAAATTCCATGAGTGGAGGAAAGGGAACCCCCATGTCCTGATGCTGCTAAGATTTGCAATCCACTGTCCTGACCAGTGCTATAGGACCAACTGCATATTTCCTGTTGCATTTAACCTGGATGAAGACGATGTCTCCTGGACATTGGGATAGTAAACCCTCTGAAAAGTCCATGTTTTTCATAGCTGGAGGCTACCATGCAGGAATAATGTCCATCATCCTCCTGCCCATGACCTCAAACTTACTCACATTTCCTTTCACCCATCCCTTTAACTCATCATAGTAGAATTCAGAGGAACCCTCTGCAGGTGTAAAAGACTGCAAACCTCTCACTGCTATATTGATGTAAATATCAAGTGACACCAGGAAGATCAGAAGGGTGTTTGTTTACTCTGCAGAGTCCAGTCCAAAGGACATAAGGTGAAATCTCCAGAAATGTTAGTAGACAAATTATGAAGCCTTTTCAACTTCTGGAGTGTTGGCAATGATAGGACTTTCAAGCTAGCTGTTTGAAAGCAGTTCCTAGGGAAAACTGTGAAATCTCGTTAACTGCCAAGGATGACAGTATATCTCTGCAATGCCTTCCTGGCAGGAGAACAGCACAAGATCTAACCCAGATCCCTCCGAGAACCAAATTTTGTGCCTAAAGCCTGAATGCAAACAGGTATTTCTTTGACTATTGTTTCTAACCCCATCCATCTTCCCTTCCTCACAGCCCTGAAACAAAACAACTGAGACTGTTTTCATGTTCAGAAGGAAAGGTACCCAAGTGAAGTGTGTAATCCAATTAATTTGAGTTTTATTTGACCATGTCAAAATCTATCACTGCTTGGGAGTAAGATGAAATTGGGAAATGAGCATCGAACAGCAGTGAAGGCATTAACAATTGCAGAGCCTTTTGTTTTTAAAGAACAAGCGGTCAACAAAATCAAATGTACATCCACTGAGAGGGGGAGAGGATGGGCTGCAAACAACCAGGAATTAATTACTGCTGGAAGTAAGCCAGCGATAAAGATTTGGGTTACAAAACATTCCAGCTAAATGGTACATTATTATGATGACAGAGTTACTCCCACAAATCCACCTATCCTGGCATTTGATTCAACTTTATTTATGAAAGCTGATTCCATAATTGTGACACAGAAGAGAGCTCTGCTCAACAGCCCTTGAGCTCACTAGCTCCTGATTTGGCCTCTGCAGCAGAGGAGTATGGACATGCAGGAAATCTAGAGTGGCTCCTTTCTCAGCTGCCTAGCCAGGCAAAACTCATTCAGATCAAGGTTTCCTTCCAGGATGAGCTCTGAATGAAACGTACTGTGAATGAAATGGGATCTAAGTGTGTTGAAACACAACCCGCACATTTTTTAAGAGACTCTCTCCATGTTCCCATAAAGCAGCAGGAAGAACTCCTATCTCCTTATAAACTCCTTCTCCTTATAAACAGGGGGACATTCTGGAATTCACTGCCGCTGGAGGTTGTTATAGCAGCCACAAAATAGCTCCAGCAACAAATGGTAGCAGGAATCTTCCCTTCTCAGCCATCTCCTGCACTGACCCAGGCTCTGCTGGGCTCAAGGGCTGGATTTTGTTTCAGTACTTCTGGATATACCAAAGCAGAAGGCAGACAACTGTCTGCCTCATTTGAGAAGACCTTGATACACAATTTGCTCCAGCAGCTTTCCACCTCCTAGCCAAGCCAAGAGGAAGAGCGCAACCAGTCTGACCTGGGCAGATACAAGCACCCACGTTCCCTGGAAGAGAGCACAAACATCCTTCAAAGGGGAAACCTGAAGCAGCACAGAAATGCCCTGAATGAGGCAGTGAAACTTGCCCAGCCAGAGTGGCAAGGCATCTCAGAGGCACAGGCATAAACAGCTTTGAAAGCCATCGGTATGATTTTCTAAATCAAATGCCATTCCCTTCCTCCTGTCCTTCCCCTTCGCTTCCTCTGCTCTGTTCTCCCTTCCTCAGGAAGGGCTATGCATGGCAGCAGGCACTGGGATGTCACTTTGCAAATCTTTGTTCTATGCTCCTTTTTCACCAGTGACATGCTGGGTACACAGGCAAGCCTGTTGTGCCTCAGTTTCCCCTTGCTCTCCTGCAAAATAGGTTAATGTTATCTCATGTGTCCTTTGCAAACTGAAATCTTTGAGATGTAAGAAAACACAGCCCTCAACAGAGTGCAAGTTGCATTCTTTTCTCTGTTCCCTAAAAATTGTCTTAGCTTTAGCACAAGAAAGAGGGCTGAGCTGGCTCTAGACCACATACCTGATCCACTCATTTTTAAATGGCAGAGAAAGCAAGCAATCCTTGTAGCAGAAGCCTCAGCGGTGGGGTATGGCAGTTTAGCTTCTGGCCTATGTCTAATGTTTCTAAGGGATAAATTCCCCCATTATAGGCTTGATTTGTTGAGACAGGATGGAAATGAAGTAATCCTGTCTTAATTTCTTTCTGCTACCTGATCTGGAGGCAGACAACTGGGACCAATTTCTTTACCACAGCACAGTGAAACTGTGAGAAAATATTTGTCTCCCCATTTTTGGCTTCTGTCTGCTGATAAACATTGCCAACAGGAACTTGTTGCGATTAATAAAGGCACATGCATTAACCATGTTCAGGCGGAACCAAACACTGTACTACTACTAATAATCTGATACAGCTTTCTCATATCTCTGTGGGTGCACATGCCCATTACCAGGAATATGCTTCCCTCTGCTGTCAGCAGCTGGAATCTTGTGTTTATAGTTTTCAGATGTGCTCCATTCAAAATAAATAAATAAATAAAATTAAAAAAAAATCTACCCAGAATTTACAAGGCTAAATTTTATTGGTTGTAGAGGATCAGCTTTCCACCAACCTGTGGTAGGCAAAATCAGCCAACACATAAGCAAAATGGTAAGTTTTGTAAGAAAATGGTCTTGATATTGCCATAACTTTATCATGACCACATAGATAACTTATACTTGCAGTGAGACTTGTATTAAGAAAAATTTTTATAATGAGAAAAATTGTCATAAATTTTGGGCAACTCCTTCTGCAAACCAAGAAATCCACCACAGATATGGGGGAGAAGTACAGGGCTGCCCCAGGGATGTAACATCACCATTTACTCACAGTCCTCAAGTCCATGTGGGAGCCTGTTGCTGCCCAGTGTTGGCAGAGTTAATACAGATATTTATCCGCTTTCCATTTTGGGACAATACAGAGTTCACCCTTCTCACACATCAGCTGGGAAGGCCATGTAATCAAGGCCTTTATACACTTTTTAATTTATCCAGTACTTTGCAAGAAAGAGTTTAATTTAAAGGGTCGTTGGAAGGAGGGGGCAGCAGCAGTACCCAAACCATTCTTAAGGATCCTTTGGAATAAAAGGCTGAATGCAGAATAGCACCATTTGCTGTGACCCTGTAAGGCAGTGACGTGGCTGTAATGCAAAACTTTCTTGTTACAAGGCTCATGAACACAGCAGCTCAATCTACATTTTTTGAAAAATCTTACTATTGAACCACAATTAATTTCATCCTGCCCATATGCTCTAAGTAACTGAATATGAAATCGAGCTGTTAAAATTCTTCCCAAAGTAAAAATACATCTGTTCACTTTTGGGAAAAGGAGTCTGGAGAGTGGAGTGGGTGGAAGGGAAAGGAGAGCTCTAGAAAACTGTCAGGCACAGGGAGACTTACTAATCCTTGGCTGTAACACAACTGAGCTTTGAAGATGGACACGAGCAGAAGAGCTGGGGAAGAGGCACAGCTGAAGTCTGGGGGAGTGGAGATGGGAGACCTGACAGAGCCGGGGCCAAGTGGAGATACAGCTGAGCTCTGCTTTATCATTATTAGATACCAGCTATACAAGACTGGACCAGAAGAATCAAGCCCAAATTTGAGAGCACTCAGATAAAAGTGCATGATGTGCCTTTCCTAGAAAGCCTTTTCTTGCCATGCACAGCACAAATCAAATAAATATATTTTAATCACTGTAGGCTCAAAGAAACCTTGACCCTCCAGTTACAGGTGAGGGATAAATCCCGGTCTTGGTCTGGCCTTTCTAGTCCATAATTCTGTGTTTTGCATGGACGTGGGATAATGTTGATGCACCAGAAACACAGGTGGAAGACACATCTGCGGGGGCAGGAAAAGAGTCACGTTTAACAGATGTCCTTGTTACATTATATAATTCCAGAGTTGCAAACCTTTGGTACTTACTCATTTCTGAGCAACCCTGAGCCCTGTAACGCTGCAACAGCGGCACCAAGAGGTCTCTCAGCAGCACAGTTTCGTTGCACCAGCACCTAATCGGCCAGACTGCTGTATTTCTCTACCCACATGTCTCTCATGATGCTACAGCTTGACCTGTCATTTCACTAGAGACCCTCTTCACAGCAGCTACTCACGATGGAAGCTTAAAGGACACCAAGTTGCCTCCTCAAAGCTATGATGAACCCAGAAAACCAGGCACAGGGAACAACCATAAATCCCCCAAACCCTGTTCTCAGTGATGGTTTTAGAAGAGCAGTAATTTATTTTCTCATTTTGGAGAGGTGAACCCCTCTACCTTCTAAGTCTTCCGTGTTTCATCTTGAACAGGAACTTCCAAGAGACCCACACAATGAGCTGCTCCTGGGGAAGGCAGGGCCCTGGCAGAGCCTGGCAGGGAGGTGAGAGGAAGAGCTAAGCTGCTCCATGCCTGCCCACTCTGCTGGTGTACCAGAAAAAAAAAGGGAACCAAGGAGGAAACTTACTTTCTTTTTCAGCTGTGGGCTGAAGCGAGTAGAGAACCCCTTGTTGGAAGGTAAGAGGGAGGCTTGGGGTGGCTGGTGGCCCTGGAGGACCTGGGGGACCTGGGATCCCAGTTTCTCCTGGAAGTCCTCTCGGTCCTTGAGGTCCCAACAGCCCTGTACAGAGGCAGCAGAGGATGTGTTAGTGCATTTGAAGACATGCTAATGATGCTACCATGTAAAAAGGCAGTAAGAAGACAAAGGATTTCTGTCCTGATCTGTAATTGTGGGAATTAGAGGTGCAGGAGGAAATAGGAACAGCTTCCTAATTTTCCATTATTTGCCTTTAGCATCTTCCTCTGCAAAGCAAATAGACTTACTTGGCTCAAAGGTGCTGCAAAGCTTAATTCCTGAAAGAGTAAAATCTCCCCCATCCCTGAGGCTGAGCAAGAAACTAAAGGCAGAAAGGCGTGAAATCAAGTGCCACTCTTTCTCTTCCCGTCCATGTACACACCTGTATGTCACCTCACTGCCAGGAAAGCACAGAAAGAACAACAGAAGCCCAGTCAGTCCAGCAGCAGACCCCTTCTGCTTCCTGTGGGGCTGGAAGGCTCTCATTGCAAACTGAGAAACCAAAAGCCAGACACATCCTTGGCCAGACTTTAGCCATTGACAGGTTGCCAGAAAATGCCAAAAAGCGTTTGGGGCTGCTCTCACATTTAAGGCACACTCCAAGTTTCAAATCTTTCCTGAGCTCAGATTTACAAGTCACAGCCTTTTAGATGCATACAAAGCACAGAGCCTGAGGTCTGGCACCTATTGTGTAGTATCGGTTTCATCAAAAGATTTAGGAACATTTTGGGGATGACGAAAGTCTCCTAGCTCAGAAATGGAGTGTACTCTGAAAGAATGGCCTCATAACCTTTTCCCTTAACATACAAAAGCATCATTAGTTTGACATCCTGGCATCTGACAGCTTGACACAAATGGTGGAGAAAAAAGGGAGTTAGAACAGGCACACAGCAAGAGGGTTAAACAGGGAATGCTCTTATCCAAAGGCTGACAGATCAGAGACTGTTTTGTACAGCTCCTGAGCAGGATGGGGAAACATGATCCTGCTCTGCAGTTTTCTGGGACGAGCTCTGTCCAGCTCCACAGGAAATCCTAGGGACCGTCATTGCTCATGCAGGTGGTTGCCCGCTCTGAGAGCTGCTGGCTGATTTCAGTGCCCAGGGGACTCACTGGAATACCAACTGAAGATGCTCAACATCCTGTGTGTCCAGCCTTTTATGATCTGTTTTCACAGATAATTTGTATAAGGTGAAATATCTCCTATCATGGTAGTACTGCCCTCCTCCAGGACTTACCTGGTGGCCCTGCAGGGCCCCTCTCACCGGGTTGTCCCTTCTCTCCTTTTGGTCCTGGTGGTCCTGGAAGACCAGTTGGTCCGACTGGGCCTGGAGGACCAACCTGTCCTGGCAGCCCTGAAAACATTCAGAAAAGAAGTTAGTTGGAGGTTAGGATACTGCTGAGGTCAGAAGATCTTCAGCAACCTAGAAACCAGAGGAGAAGGATTCAAAGATGCAAGGAGGAGCAATGCAGCTTTGCAGGGATGGTACAGACAGGGTAGTACTGGTGGCAAGAGCTGGCTGGTATGTAGGGCAGAAGATCCAGACTGGACCTCGCTTCTCCTCTTCTTCCTCCAATTTTTAAAGAATCTTTAAAGAAACAAGCATGTCCCCACGCACAAGGCCCACCCCAAAAAGTCAGCAGGATGCATATCTCCAGCTGAGATGTGCTGGTCAAAGCTAAACTGAGCCCACACTGTCCCCTTCCCAAGGTCTGAATGGCTCTGGGCAGGGTCTGGCTGGTCCCTCAAGCACTCCTTTGCTAGTTTCATCCAGACACATGTGTCAGTTCCATGGTAGTCCCAATGTATCAAAATACACAAAATATATTTGCAAAAGCAAATCAAACTCTGTCTCCCACTTGCTCTGCCTGATATATACATACCACCCAGAGATTCTGCATCAAAGATGTTTCCCTGTTTTCTCCTGTTTTCATTCATCTGACAAGTGTACCATGCTGTGCACAAGCATTTTTCATCCCAAACTGAAATTAATGCACCCACACTTTTGAAGTAACTAGATGTTACTAATTTATATTAATGAACAGGGTGCTGAGCAAACCCATCCGGAAATACCAGTAACGCAATAATTACAGCCCAGCAGGATGCTTCTTGGAAAGTCCACTCAGACCCCAGTAAGCCTACGAAAGGTGCAGTCAGCATTTGTAATCTGAAAGTGACTATTTCTGATGACACTAAATAAAATCTTAATGTTGTCTTCTTTAGACTATCAAAATAATAACAACACTTGGCAATTTTATAGTGTTTTTCAGAAAAACACTGTGCGTCTTTGGCTCACAAAAGTAGTAGCTCCTTTGGAAAGACACTTAAATACTATGCAAACATCAGTGAAGCCTTTAATACCTTGGAGAGGTGGCTGAGTTAGTCTGTCTACTCAGATTAAGTGGTTAATGGTTACAACAAAGGCATTAACTGTCAGAGCCAAGAGAGTCAGATGTTCCTGGTTTCTGGGCTACCAAAGGCCGTTGAGTATTTGAAAGCAGTGGCAGATGCAAGCTACAAAGCCAGAGGAAGATCTGTCTGAGTCCAAAGTTCAGTGCACTCAGATTTCAAGTTTTAGTCTGTATATTACATATGACCATAGCTCAGCAGAGTACAAGTTAAGTTTTGATAAATTCTTAAGCAATGTCCTTCCCCTTCCCTGGTCTCGAAACAGGTACTGGACCCTCCAAGAGCAGTGCCAGGAGAACCTGCTGCATGTAGGTGGTGGAGAAGAATGAACGGGAATAGAGGGAGGGAAGGAAGAAAGGAAACAAGCTGGCCAACTAACACCTTCACAGCTGGTACCAAAGGGAACAGGGCTACGTAATAAAAACCAAGGCTCACAGGATTTGCAGCTCCCACATTTGGAGCCGGTTCCCACTCGAGGTGTGTGACAGCCCACCTGGGGCACAAAACCTTGTCCCCCCAGACATTCATCCAAACTCTCTGCATTTCTCAGAACAATGCAATAATCCCCCAATATTAGACCCCCTTGAAAGATTCCTCTTCCTCTCTTCTTTTTTTGCCATTCTGAAGAGATGTCCAAATTATTTTTTCTTACAAAAATGAAATCTACCCATCTCTAATCCATGGCGAAACTGGGCAGACTGAAGAAATGAGATTTTTCAAAGGCTTTGTGTAGGAGTGTGTGCCTGTACTTTTATTCAGTCATCAATAAAGATCTGATTTAATATGAGTATTGAACAAGGAATTAAGGTAAGGTTTTAATTTTGATCAATTTGTTTATCCACAGGACACAAACTGCAGACTTTTCTGTGAATAGAAGGGCTCCTTTAATGGATCTCACCCAACAGTGGATGCTGTATTTGGCAAGCTCAGGCAGGTGATCAGGAGCCCATTTAAGAGAGCAAGAGCATTTGTTCACAGCACTGCAAACAGCTTCTCCCCCCTACCAAAAACCTCCAGCGCACCTGAAACTTTATTGCAGCAAATTCTTTCCAGCATACAAGGAAGAACAGCAGAAACACTGTTTTGCAAGCACAACACACTGCACTGCTGAGTGTGGGTCAAAACATTTCCTTGCTTGTATAAATCAGCCTCAATCCTTCAGTTCAACCTTCATAACTCAATCCTGTGAACTTCTGCAGACCAAGAGCAATCATTTGCTGCTAGCATCCTCAATCACACTGCTGCAGCGGAGCTTTAAAGAAACTGGCACTTCCTTCCCCGAAGGTGGAAAGCGCTAAAGGAAAGACTAGGAGAAGCAGCACTGAGTAATGTGTCAGGCAAATGCTCATACTGGTGACAAATGGTGTTACCAGCATAAAAGAGACAAGTGCAAAAGGGAGAAGAAAGAGGGAAGGATTCGGGGAAAAAGGGGGAGGGAAATGAATAGGCCAAATCTTCAGCTGGCATAAATCAGCTCTGCTGCAGTGGCATTGCTTTCAGAGAGTTGAAGCCCACGGCGAGTATTTATCCTCCAAAAACACGAAGGAAAAAGCCATGGGAGGGGGTGGGGAGGCAGGAAGGCAGGGGGTGAGTATTCTACTGCTGGAGACCAAATCAGACATAGAGAGACCTGGATTTTCTTCCTGGCCCTGTCATTAACCTGCAGCACACCATCTGTTCCCTTTCCTTCCCCAAGGTTTTCTCTGTACAGGAGCAGGGTATTCTCTTTGTATGGAGCTTAGCAAAACGATGCCCTGACTATCACCAGCATCTCTTGGTGCCCCTGGCAGGCAATAGCAGTAAGATAATAACAGTGTTTTTATTTTTTAATGGAAGCATCACTCAGCACATGCCCTGCTTGCTCTAGCCACGTGTCCTCCAGTGAACTGCCTCTCCATCAGGCAGTGCTTTCCATCCTTTGTGTGCTGGGGAAACTGAGAGTCTCTAAGATGATAAAGCTGGCATTTCACCTCTCTAACCAGAGCAGCCCACGATCAGATAAAACCCAGAGAAGAAACCCAGTCTCTCTATATCTGTCACTGAGGACTCCTGGCCACAGGACCCTTCTGATTTTTGGGACCTATCATGTAACAGGATGCAGCACAGCAACATTTTGTGCTTTGAAAGAGGAAACAGCAGAAACCATTGACTTACCCTGTGGTATTAGCTGCTCCTCTGCACCTCTGTGTCCTTTAGGCTCTAGTTAACAGGGTCAGGGTAAAAAAAAAAAAAAAGAAAGAAAAAAAAAGAAAAATTAGGTCTCTTGCTGCCAAGTGGCTCAGCCAGAGTATATATGTTTTCTTAATCCTCAGTAAAATGTATCCTGTTGATTAACAAGCTGATCAAAAGGCCAGCGGTGCAGCTGTCTCAACAGCTTTGATTGCTTTTAAATGATTGTCTATTCTCAGCCCTGTCACTCACAGAAGAAATAACTACCCTAATAAACAGTAGCAAGTTTTCCTGGACTTCAGCCTGGAGAGGTGTCAGCCAACCCAGAGCTATAAGGTCATCCAGAAACACTCCCACCACTCAAAGCATCTAGTCCATATCAACCATCTTTGTATTAGGCACCAAAGTTCTGCCCTTAGTCCACCCGGTTGAGAAACTTGGTGGCACGCAAGCTAGGATTTGGATTTGCTTTGGCTGAAAAACTAGAAGCAGGGCAGGGCAGGCAATGTTTCACAAAAAACTCTGGGGAAGGGGATGGGAGGGACAGAGCCTTAGCTTTCCACAACCCAAACCACACAGGACACTCAGGTTTGACTTCCACCTACTCTAATATCACACTTGTTGAAAGATGTCCTGAGGTCTACAATCTCTGTAAGTGAACCTGAGGCCAGCTTTGAGCAACAAGTCACAGTACAGTGTTGAAATCATGCAAAATGGGCAGTCCCCCAACATCCTAAACCAACTGTGTGAAATTCCTTACATTTCACCAAAATCCACAATGCATTTTTTTGGCTGGCTCTGAACTGTAGATAGAAACTGGTGTGGGCAGGGAAGGAAGCCAAATGTGGACCCAGATCCTCGAAACATCCCCACTTATAGCACTTAAAGCAAGCATTTGAAGCCCACAGAGCTCAGGTAGGGGCTTGGGCAGGCCAATAAGCATGTCAATAAGCAACTTAACGGATTACTTCTAATTGCTGAAAAGCACTGTCCTGACCTGAAATGGTCCAGTGCATGCCTGATTCCCAGTTATTATGCTAGAGTTGTTATTCCACGCTAGGCTAAATAAACCAAGGCTAGAAAAATAAAGGGTAACAGTGAGGAAGGACTACACCTGGTAGCATGCAGGCAGGGCTGTAACGCATGCAGCTGGCTGTGCACACAGCCTGGAAGTCTGGCTGACAAGACAGACTCACGTAAAGCTCAGACAACATCACCTCTTTTTTGGAGGTGATCACTAGCTACCTCCTGGATTTACTGCAGGGGTGGAGGGTGCTGATACTGGACTGTGGAGTCAGCCTGATGCAAGTGCTACAGATCTGTCCTGTTTTGCATCACTGTCTGGGTGAGTGGCATTCACTGCTACTTGCTGAGTGAGAGAAGATTATCATGTGTACAGAGCCTCTGAGAGGAGAGGACTTTGAGCGGAAGGGACAGAGTCGTCAGTACTTTTGCTGGATTGACTTTAGTACAATGAAGTGCAGGTGCAGAGATACTGTGACAGCAAAAATAAACGACATGGAGAAGGCAGAATGAGTATATAATGGACACTGGGGGAAACTGCTTTAATTCAGTTCCTGGCAGCCATCACTGTGGTTCTGAAAATACTTTGCAGAACATATTGTTAGTGAACCTCCCTCCATGTTGTGGCATCTTGTCAAATTATAAACATGGACGACATCTGGTCTACGTTGGTTGCTCCAAGTCTGCTGCACTCATGAAGGGCTGCCATAATAAACTGCTCGGACCAAAAAAAAAAAAAAATATTAAAAAGCAAAGTAGGCTCTATAGAGGATAAAGAACTAAAGAACTGCTCTGGGAGTGAGCAAAGCAACTGACAGACAGGGCCTTGGAAGCAGAGAGCAGGGATCTTGAAATGAGAATGCCAAGGTCAAGGAAATTCAATGCATGGGGATCTGTCTAGCCAAGTGGGCTCAGAGGGAGATTTTCTTATAAGTGTATTTTTTTTTCATGCCACAAGAGGGATCATAAAACAGCCCATTGTGTTTATGGTAAATTTAAAAAATATAATGCAGACTGCAACTGATGTTGCTATTCATGGGAAAGTTTTTCCTCCTAATAAAACCAAGAATTACCCCTACACCCCAGTCCTCTACCTCCCCGCACCACTCCCTGTTGGGGAAACACTGCATTCAGCGCTCAGTAGGTGAGTATGAATTGTCCCTCTGTGATCCCGATGGCTCTCTGGAGTTTCCTCAAGAATGCTTCAATCTATCCAGGCCTCAAAATCCACAGTCTTTGGACTTAAAACGTACACTGAAACACACAGGCAGGCATAGTGGCCCTCCTGAGGTTAACAGAAATCTAACTTTCCCAAGACCAGAATTCAGCTCTCAGTAGATGCTTGTGCCAACAGAAATCAAGGCTAGCAACAGGCCATTAAGGCTGGCAAAATGGAGCTTAATACATTAGTTTCTGTGCGTAGCTGCTTTCTTCCAGGTACATGCCTGCTCTGCACTGGCTTAACTCAAGGAGGAGCAGAGGCACAGAGAGAAAAGCCGAAAGTCCCTCCGTGCCAAGGGGTGACCCTCATCCCTGCACTGGCAGTGGGAAGGGCCCCTGAGGAAATCGTGCCCAGCTTGCTGCAGCTAAAAGGATGGTTCAAGGTGGGATCAGAGAAGACTGAATTCCTTCCTCATCCACGCGTCCACATGGGTATTGGCATGTGACCATCTCTGCGTTCACAGCTTGGCAGAGAGGGAGGGACAAGAAGCAACATTAAACCTTTAGATTGAGCAGCACCTGGTGTGGAAGAATCCTGTCTCTAGAGCTAAATAATGCTGACTCTGGCCCTAAAAGAGAGGCTGAAATCTCTCAAAATGCCTCTCCACAGGGTGGTTTTCCTGCTGAGAGCAATCCCATCCTGCAGTGAGTGTCTGCAAAAACTAAAGCTATGGTGTCCCTGCTGAGGGTGCAAAGCAAAGTGCAGACATGGAGCCACTCATGCCAACAAGGCTGCCTGCCCTGTACTCATCACACAGCACCATGTGGCCCAACTGTGGCCGCTCCCATCAATGGCTCCCTGCTGGATCAAACACACGGCAGCAAACGTGCCCACAAAAAAGAGGAATTGCCCATCTGAAAATCTTAACCCTCTTCTCCTTTAAAGAGCAGAGGGAAGGAGCTGCCAATGTTTCCCTCCAACCCCTCTCCCCTGAAGCTTCCAATACTACAGCAGACTGACATGGCCTCCTTTTTAGTTACCCTACAGGAATTGTGTATGTAGGGTGGGCGATTTGGTGAAGAGCAGGTTAGGCTTACCAACAGATCCCACTGTTTTTCTCAGGACAGTCCCGGGATTCAGCAGGGGAAAGGCATCTGGTAGTAAATCATCATACCATGTGGCTGTCGTCCCGGTGATTGGCAGGTTGTTTTCCAATGGTGGGCTTCGCTCCGCAGCCTCGAGCAGAAGGATCTAGACGGGGGACATGGGGAAGGCAAACAAGGTCAGTGGGATGGTTTCACACATGGTCTCAATCCTGAAGAGGTCTCGAAACTCCTCTCTTTGCCAGCAGGAGCTGTGAATAACTCTGCATCACAGACCACAGGGTTTTGGTGTTAAAGCTCTAATGTTCTTCTGGAAAGTGGCAGTAATTAGCATAAGAAGCTGCTGTGTTAAGTTGCAAGAGTGTCCTGCACAAACCCTCCTTGGAGAGGGCTTCATTGCTTCCAGAGAGACTCAGTCTCACATGGATTTGTCTCCCTGGCAAGAAACATGAAACCAGGGACCAGAGCTGGTGTCAGGGAACACAGCACTTCACTGCTAGGTTACGTCTTCAAATCCAGAGTCATAAGGTCAGAAATTACTGAGTGGTATGAGGTGAAAGGCTGTACCCTGGATGCCCAGGGTAGCAAACTGAGGTGCCTCAGGACAAATACTGGTTATAAGTCAAAGCACAAGTTCTGACCAAATTAAAGATGATGGAGAGAATTAAGCTTTTAAAGAGCTGAAGTACTTTAATTTTTGAGCGAATAAAAAAGGCAGGCAATTTGCTCAAAAAGCTCTACTTAGAAGTAATAGGATATTATTAAAACTCACAACTGTTTCTGTACCTTGTAAACACACTACCTTCAAATAAATCCACATCCCAATGTGCGTCCCTGAGCTATTTGGGCCATTTACAACCTAAGCTCCTTGGCAAAGTGACCCCGTTTTCCTTGTATGATTTAGACTGCTGTTCATCAAGCTGTGCTCCTGTGGCCACTGGTGGCCTGTATGAAACTGGAAGTTAGTCTTTAACACGGCTGCAAAAAACCTAAATGCCCACAAGAAGTAGAGGGGTGGAGGACCCAGGTGGACTCTGCCCACTGACAAACTCCACTGAAGTGAAGCCCAGGGGAGCATTCATTGCACTTTATAATCAACATTTTTAATTAAAGTTTTCACAAAATTAGGATTTTTTAAAAAATAAAATTTTCTATTTAAATGTAAATGCTTCAACCCCTGCCTTCCTAGCCACTAAGCAAGGATGGCACAACAAAGTAGTCTACAGATTTCTGTTGAAAAAGCCTAACCCATCGGGAGCACTGCCCTGGAGCGCCAAGCCCATGTGCTCTGCTGCAAATGAATTTTACCTCAGTTGCTAGACAGAAGCTAAACAGAAGCCAAGGGCAGCACCCACTTTCCTGGTGGGGCAGCCAAAGAGTCAGCAGCCCTGCATTAGCCATGCCTGGGATGCAGCAGCAACCCTGCCACTTACCTGGCAACTGGATCGATCCCTGGCAAAGCTGCCTGCTCAGGATGGGCGCAGGATGCCCATCAGGCAGGAGCAGGGCTGAGGTTTCCAGAACAAGAGTTTTGATCGAAGCATTCAGCTTCTCCAGCAAAGTCTGCTTTCTAAGCACAAAGCTACACAGGAAAATTGTTCAAGGAGTGCAACACTGTGGTTTGGTACAGCTCTGTCTCTTCCTGTTTGGAAACCACCTAAGCAAATACTGATTTAGGTATAAGGGAAATAAAAGATAATAGGGGTCAAACTTTCCACTAAATCCGTAGAAGTTTCAGCTTGTACATGCTGTGTTGTCTTTACATAATGAAGTCACACTGCAATTATAAATGAGAGTGACTTGGCTCTGCTTGTTTGTTTTTAACTTGCAATTATTACAAGGTTTATCACTTATTTATTACAAGGCATGGTGGGAGCCAGTATTGCAGCAGCGCCAGAAATGATGAACTTCCTGCAGAATGTACTGGCCTGACAGGGGTGAATCAGAAACTAATTAAACTGGGAGCTAGGTTAAGTGCAAAGGAACTGAACCTCAGCTGTTGCAAACAAGCAAAATTCTTCCTTTATTGCGAGTATCTTTATTCATGGATCTAGCATCTTGCTTTCTGAGTAATAAGAAAGCAAAAAGGAATCAGGTCACAATGCTTCTATTCAGCAGGCTTCTCTGATGCTACGCAAGGAAGGAATTGGTTCAGTCTGTGTCTTGCACTTCTGTGCTTCTCTGATTTATTTGTCAGACTTTCAAGGAAATACGCTATCAGTTCAACAAACACTTAAGCATGTGCCTTACCATAATCGTGCTTAATTCCCATTGACATGGGACTCAAGTGTGCATTGAAGACCTTTTCTGAATCACTTTATACTATTATATTATCCTCTTACTTCCCCAGCAAAACACCTGCATGTTGCCAAAGTGTACTCACCAACAGAGGCAAAACTAATCCTGGAGGCAGCAAATTAGAGAGGCTACAGCCAGGGCAGGGTTAGGATGCTCCTGCTGTGAAGAAGGGACTGACAAGGACTGTCTTGGACAGTATTTTGCCGCAGCCCAGCAGTGTTGCGGGAAGAGGTGATATTAAATCAATAGCAGCAATGGTCAGAGACCAGCAAACTGCAGGGGTCCGGGGCCCTCCCGGGCGGCGCAAGCAGCGCTAGCACAGCTCTGCCGAAGGTTGCATCTGGAGTGGAACAGCTCCAAATCATTTTTATGGGTGATAATAAAAACGTGTTACCACATAATCAACACAAAACGGTGGCAACGGTATCCTTTTCATTAAAACAACATGTTTTAAATGAGCGCTCTGCTGATAAACGCTGTAAAAGATTTAAAGGCATGCACAGAATAATCCAGTATGCTCTTTTATAAATCGACTATCTATACTTAGCAGTCATTAAGGCTCAAACCATAGTAACAAGTTTGTTTTCCCTGGGCAGAAAATGATAGAGGTCAGGAAGTCTCCAGACTTGAAATTGCTGAGAAATTCTAGTTTTTATGATTAGGACTGAAGAAGTGCCCAAAAGAAATAAAGTAGAAAGAAGAGAGCTCTCACATCCGTGAGATCCACAGAGCCAAACTAAAGAAGGAAAAGCACAAGGGATTTAGTCACATTCAAAATCTCAAACTATACACAGTTCTTTCAACAAGGAGTGTCCTCTCATAAGCTAGCACAGCACATAACACAAACGGGGTCCTTATGCATTATTGCAATAGCACTGGAGCTATTAATCTATTTTCTGTCACGTTCTGTTTTTCTTAAGGCTGCCATTGCTGTAGTCAAGGGACTCGAGGAGAATTCCCACTTTCATTAAACAAAAAAAGAAAGTTTTTAGCCCTCTGAGTAAACTGCTGGAAAATGATACCACAGAGGCTCACAGCCAGAAAGCAAATTAGCAAAACGTGCAATGTATTAAAGTCTCAGTATTAAAGTCTTGGTATTTTCTAGTCAATAAGGTTGAGGTAGAGAGAGGGATAACACCAAGTGAAGAAGAACGTGTGGTTTTGATTGGAAGTCCTCCTTGCAAGCAGTGCCCACCTCTGTTGCTATTACTACTTCCAATACAAAAGTTATGCCTCTATGAAGAATGGAGGCAGAAAACATCCTAATGCCATCACATAAATGAAATCTGTCTTGATGCCATGGGTAACGTTAGTCCCCAACCACCCAGAGCAGGTACAGAGAACTAGCTGAAGGGCAGTGCTTGTGGTTGCTGCCTGTGGTGTCAGGAGGGCAGATCCCCGCAGAGGACACGAAGGCCTTTCCTCCCCAGCTTGGGCTGCATTGCACAAGGTGAAGGATGGCCTCGACTCAGCAAAACACTCAGGCTTTTGTCTTTTTGCACATATGGAAGCAAAAAGTCAAATCTGAGCCTAAATGGACATGCTGAACTGGAGCCTCTGGCAACAGAGGTTCCACCGGCACAAGGGCTTGTCTCTGGTTTCCAGACCCCACCTCTCAGATGCAGCTGAACTGGGTCAGAAAGCTGGAAAGAACTGAAATGGGGCCACGTCTCCTGCCAACACCGCAGCGGGAGACAGGCCCAATGCAGGAGACGGCGTGTGAACACGAAGGGAATGCAGGAGGGATGATGCACTGCACTGGCCAAGGAGCTCACAGGCCAGCGCCAGCGGCAGAGGTTATTGCCTGCAAAACTCACCCCAGGGCCTTTCGAGTCCCACAGAGCCGCCGGGCTCACCTCTGTACAGGATCTGGCGCTTGCTCTTCTCCCATGGCTCAAAGCCTGGCTCTTCGCTGTGGGGCCCGCTCACGCGTAGGGCCCTCAGCAGGGACATTAGTGTTATGTGCCTGAAGCTCCGTCCCAGCTTACTCAACCCACCTCCCCCTTTTCTATTTGCCAGCATAAACTTTCTAAACTTCAGACACATACCACATTTCTTGCGTCAGATCAAGAGCTCAGGCCAGGGACAATGGAAACGGGAGGAAGGTTTTCATCTTCTTGAGATGTTCAGTGTCAGAGGACTTTTTTTGGCTTGTAGTGGCTTTCAAGAACCCTGATTTGGTTGTTTCCACACATCAAAAGAAGATTTCACAAACACAGCCTCCTCCCATCATCTGTCCTCTGCTCGCATTCCTGATGTCCTGTAACTAGTAGGTGCTAGAAACAAGGAAAGAACAGCCGGGCTTCCAAAGATTTCAAAATTGATACAACAGGGTTCAGAATGCTTTTTCTTTGGATAAAAATCCATGGAAATGCAGGGGGAATAATCTGACATAATCCAGATGGATATTATTAATTAATAAACAGGGGATATTTGGTCTCTTGAAGCATTGGTGGAATTAACTCCCCTCCATCCCTCTCTAAAGAGGAGGGAAAGAAACTGCATGAATCTAGCTCATCAGCTAAAAATTTCAGTGTAAAATAAGATTCCCTTGATCCTGTAAAGACACAAGCTGATTAATAATGGTAATTGCATAACTTGTTGGACATATCTTTCTTTATAGCAAATTATTTGGCAAAATATAGGAGTTTTTTAATCATTCATCAAGACAGAGAGCTAAACAGGGAGTTTTACAAAATCTGATGGAGAATGGTATCTCTCTTGTAGCAATATGAAACCTGTTAACACAAGGCTCTAACACAGATGCAATTGCTTGGTTTCAAAAGCCAAAAGACATTCAGTAAGTGTCCACTAAAATCTGATGAACCAGGTGCCCAGTGAGAACCTGGG